GGTCTCCAAGGCTGTCAGTCTTCACAGAAGCAAAGCCCAAACCACACCCACTGCCGTGGAGTCCATTCTGACCCACGGCGCCCCTAGAGGACAGAGTGGAACTGCCCACAGGGTCTCCTGCACTGAAATCTACGGAAGTACATCACGGGTCTTTTCTTCTGCAGAGCTGCCCGTGGGTTCAGACCACCAGCATCTCAGTTAGCGGGCGAGCATTTAACCATTACAGCACCAGAGCACATTAGATAGCCAGCATTAAGCACCAACTGCAGGCCAGTCCCTTTATCAGGCAAGGGGATGGAGAGAGGAGGGGGATCAACACTTACTAAACACCTACCGTTACTGGAGCAGGGGCTCTGGTGGCATAGTGCCTAAGGCACTTGACTGCTAACCAGAAGGCTGGCGGTTCAAACCCACCAGCCACTCCTCGGAAGGAAGGTCAGGCAGTCTACCTCCGTAGAGATACCGCCTCGGAAACCTAAGGAGGGGTCACTGTGAGTTGGGACTGACTCGACAGTAGTGAGTCTGGTTTGTATTTCTGGTTTTGTTGCTGGAGCAGAATCCTCGGGTGGTACGAATGGGTAAGCTGCTAGTCAAAAGGCTGGAGACTGGAGTCTTCCCAGAGGTGCCTCCAAAGAAAGACCTGGCAGTCCACTTCTGAAAGCCCAGCCACTGACAGCCCTGTGGAGTACGGCTCTGCCCTAACACAGGGGGTCACCGTGAGTTGGAACGAGTTCGTTGGCAACTGATGTGGTTGCTGAGGCAGGTTCACAGTAAGGGGCCCCTGGGGGCCGGCTGGCCCCAGGTGAGAGCCGTCCTTGCCTCCCGATGCCCGGGGTGAACGAGGTCCAGTCCATAAACCAGCTTGACTGCGCCCTCCCCACATCTCGTGTGGTAGGTGCCAGTTGTCAGCATCCTCATTTAACAGTTGAGGAGACCGGGGCTCGCAGAGGGCAGACGCACACCCACGGTCACGAGGCGAGAGAGGGGCACGGGGCTCCAGGGTATGGGGGATCGCAAGGTGCAGTGGGGGCAGTAGGAGCCGGCCGGCCCACGCTGACGGCCGCTCTGTCCCCACAGGTCCTGGAGGAGCGCATGAAGCTGGAGTGCAAGTGCCACGGCGTGTCGGGCTCGTGCACCACCAAGACGTGCTGGACCACGCTGCCCAAGTTCCGCGAGGTGGGCCACCTGCTCAAGGAGAAGTACAACGCGGCCGTGCAGGTGGAGGTGGTGCGTGCCAGCCGCCTGCGGCAGCCCACCTTCCTGCGTATCAAGCAACTCCGCAGCTACCAGAAGCCCATGGAGACGGACCTGGTGTACATCGAGAAGTCGCCCAACTACTGCGAGGAGGATGCGGCCACGGGCAGCGTGGGCACCCAGGGCCGCCTGTGCAACCGCACCTCGCTCGGCGCCGATGGCTGCGACACCATGTGCTGCGGCCGCGGCTACAACACCCACCAGTACACCAAGGTCTGGCAGTGCAACTGCAAATTCCACTGGTGCTGCTTCGTCAAGTGCAACACGTGCAGCGAACGCACCGAGGTCTTCACCTGCAAGTGAGGCCGGCCGGCGGGCCGCGGCCTCAGCGGGCGGCCGCACAGCATTTTGCACACGCCCCCTTGTTCTCCCCTGCCAGGGCTTCAGCCGGCGGTGGGCGGAGCTGGGTAGAGAAGGTGGGACCCCAGGCACACAGGAGGACACCTGCCGGGCCTCGGCACCCTCTCCTCGCCCCCTAAGGGCTCCTCCCTGCCGTCCTGGCCACCCCCCCACGGCAGAACAGTGTCCACGGACCAGCCGAGGGGTGCAGTGCCTGGCACTGGTGCTCCCAGATAGGGCCCAGCGAACCCTTTTCTTCTTCCCGGGTGTCTTAGTTCCCTAGTGCTGCTATAACAGAAAGACTACAAGGGGGTACCTTTAACAAACAGAAATTTATTTCCTCACAGTTTAGGAGGCTGGGAGTCCTAGTGTAGAGTGCCGGCTCTTGGGGAAGGCTTTCTCGCTCCGTGGGCTCTGGGGGAAGGTCCTTGTCTCTTCAGTTTTTCTCCTGGTTCCTTGGAGACCTCCGTGTGGCTTGGCATCTCTCTTCCCCCATCTCTGCTTGCTGGCTTCCTTGTTTGATCTCTTTTATATCTCAAAAGAGATTGACTCAAGACACGCCCACACTGATCCTGTCTCATTAACATAACAAAGAACCGATTCCCACATGGGATTCTAACCATGGGCCCAGAAGTTAGGATTTACAATCCAGATTTTGGAGGAACTCCACTCAATCCATACTCCCAGGACAACGGATCTCAAGGACACACCCCCCCCCCCGGAAAGTGACAATGATGAGACTATGAATGTCCTCTCCCCCTGCTTGTGGCATGGACACAAAGCTGCCTGGCCAGCCTCGCCAAGACTGCCTCCCAGGCCACTTTATTTATGTTTTCTTAGCATCCAGTGAGGGTCCTGAGCACTGACAGGTGGCCAGCCCTGCTGTGTCCTGGGTTAATGCGGCCTTGCCACCCTTCCTGCTTCTCCGACCCCTGAGCTGTCCCTCCCTCCACCAGGCCCTCTGCCCCTGAGGGTCTGAGGCCTGGGGTTGCCTCAGAAGCAGTCTGGAAATGGCACCCACACCAGCAGGACCCCCGGCACCTTCCTGGGCGGCCAGTGTGGGTCTGAGGTGAGCTAGGCAGGCAGAGGGCTGGTGGCTGGCGTGGCCCCCAAGGGGCTCTGAGGAGGCCCGGACACGGCCCTCTGGCCTCCTCCTCTTCTATTTGAAAATACTTCCAGGCAAATCAGATGTCACTTGTGTCAGGTTCCAGGCACGCCATGTCCCCTTTCTGGAGCTGCCCGCCCTCCTGCCTGGCACCCCAGTTTACAGAGCCCCCCACCTGGCGCCAGCCTGATCCCCATGGCAGTGCTACAGTGGGGGCGGGGGGCTTGGGAAGGTCTGCTTTGCTGACAGATGGGGAAACCGAGGGCCAGAGGGCTCTGAGACTTGCCAGAGGCCCTGTGGCTGTGATTGGAGGCACCTGACCCCTGAGGACATGCTCTGGGGATACCCAGGGAGAGTGAGGAGGTGCCACCCACCTGGCTGGGCTCCCACCCCCATGCAGGGCACCTCTGCAGGTTCCCCCGGGCCGCCCAGCCCTGGGCTTTCTCCCCTTTTCTTTGACCCTCACCGACTGCTGAGAACACCGGACCCAGGGCTTAGAGCCCCTTCCCGCAGGCCCCCCTTGCTATCCTAACAGACACTCGCTCTGCGGCCACCTTCCCAGGGGTCCCCCGCCCCCAGGCCCTCTTTGCCCACCCCAGATGGAGTCTGACTCAACCCAAACCTGGGAGAGGAGAGGGGCAGGCACCCTGCTCGGGGTCCCTGCCCTGAGGAAACTGAGGCACAAGGGGCCCTTGACGAGGCCAGAAAGGGGGTTTGCAGCCTGCTTTTGGGGCTCCTTCCATTCCTCATGGCCTCATCCCCAAGTTTAGAGTGTTTTCCAAAGCTTGTGGGAGTGTGTTTTCGGGGTGGGCAAAAGCCCAATGATCCCCATCTGGGCCCTGGGCCCTGACCACACCGGGACACCCCCTTGGCTGTTGTCCTGGGGATCTCAGGCTGTGGTGAGTGCCCCCGCCCCATCCTGGCCCCGTCCGCAGGCCTGCCTTCCCCAGCCAGGGAACCTGGTTAACTTATATTGTTAGATATCGTCAATATGTCTATACTGTCTTAAATTATTGTGACCTACACTGGCGATGGAGGGGTGGGGGGATGGCCCTGGCCACTGTCCCCTGAGCTAGATCCTCCTGCTTGAACGACCCTCGGGGCACCCTGTGCCACCGAGCCCCTCGCACTGTCCCTCAGCCATCAGGCACATTGCCCCTGCCCCCGCCAAGACCCCACCCTCCTCCAGTAGCCTGTCTGAAAGCGTGCCCTTCCATTCTGGGGGGGCAAATGGGTCAGGCCTCTCAGCCCAGGGTCAGTGTGGCAACGGCGGCAGAGGGCTGTCACTGAAGCGTCCCAGGAGAGGAGTGGGGGTCTGGTGGGCTGTGTCACGGCCCCCCCTCAGGGGTCCTCAGCTCAATAAAAGCTGGAGTCAGAGACAGTGTGTGGACCCTGTGTGGACCCCCACAGGCCCTGGGGTTCTGGGGACTCATTCTCACAGGTCCTGGGGGTGGGGGGCTCGTTCACACTGGGCCCCTGGGGGTGGGGGCTCGTTCACACTGGGCCCTGGGGGTGAGGGCTCGTTCACACTG